ATTTGTGACTGGAATTAAATCAGTGCATTCATAATGTTTAAATATTTTTTTAATTAATATTGCTGAGTAAAAAGTTGTGACAACCTATTGGCATTCCATAAGACGAGTTTTATAGGCATGAAATTTGTTTAGACACTTAGACTTAGAAAATTTGAAAGTTTGCTGTTTTCGGGTTGCTCTTTATGCTGATTAGTTGAAAGTTTAATTTCAGCATTATGTTTTAAAAAAAATTTAAGTTGTGGAAAAATACTTGCTTGCAGTTTGTAATTATCTGGGTGGTTTCTTTAACAAACAACATATTTGACATCATTTGTTCTGGTTTTCCTTTTCATAGTTAGTTGAAAAGCAAATTTAATATTAATTTCATTTTAAAAATTTAAAAATAAAACAAAAAATATAAAGGAAAAAAATAAGCCTTTATATTTATATATTAAATTATTTAATATATATTACATTATATATTTTAAAATATTGTTACCGACCTTAATTGTTTTGATTTATTTGTTGGGTTTTAGGCTTATATTATTAATTAATAATTAATTATTATTAATTTTTATATTATAATAATTATTATATTATTAATTATATTATTATTAATTAATAATTATTGTATTATTAAAATGAATTAAACATTTATTTCAATTTTAAACAACTTTAAAACCATTAATGTATTTATAACATATTAAAGTCATTTTGATATACTTTTTTTTGAATTTTTTGTATATAAATAAACGGTTAGATTTTGTTTATTATTTAAAAAAACGATCTGAAACGACCTTCAAAAAACAAACATTTGTCTTATAAAACCATATTTCGCATTTCAAATGCGAAATCATGTGAGATAATAATTTACCACAGTGTCGTTGTGTTTACTCACCTTAAGTGAGTAACTGTCAAAAATGAAACAGGGTTTCGCTGCCGAATTCTTTTTTTACACCGAGGACAACCTCAAATAAGCGCACTTTTTTGTAAGTGTATTTTATTGACACACAAATACTTACAAGTAATATATCCATTTATATACAAAGTGTTCTTTATCAAAGCTATATGTATTTATATAAGAGAATTCTTGGACAAATAAACAGATAACATTGTATTGAAGTCTATTTTCAGTATTTTCACACTTTTTTAATATAAAATACCTTTTTGTATTACTTTTTGTCTTGCATTTTTTAACGTATTCTATTATAAAATTTTTTTTGGGATTTATATCAAAAACATCCATTTACCTATTAATTATTAAGCATAAATCTTCACTTTTTTAAAAATTTATTGCTATTTTTTCTTATGATACATTAACTCGGATTTTGTAGTCATTAGTTTATAATACTAATTATTTATTGAATATATATTTATTTTTTATTTAATATATAATAATTGAAATATATTTTTATATATAATAAAAAAAAGTTAGTCATCATGGATTCCAAAATTAACAAAAATAAATCATAAAGATATATCATTAATTAAAATTTTTTTATATTCACATGACATATAATGAATCTTTTTAAATAGCAAATACATTGTTTTTAAACAACGCAAATTAAGTGCGACGTTGGCTAAGTAATCCACCACATGAGTCTGCGTTTTCAATTTAACAGGGTTCGGTGCACTTGTCTAAAAAATTATATACAGACAAATAAATATTTCTAAGACCACTGAAAAATGTTTAATCATGTTTGAAAAGGTTGTTACACTTTATTACAAAAAAAATTTCCAAATGCTATATTGTTTATAATTAAATCGCCTTCTACCAGTATTATATTATATAAGATATAAAAAGCCTTTTTTTTTAATGTTTATTTAAATAATTTATTTATAATGTCTATATCGTAGTAGTGCTGTTCACATTATTCGAAGTTTTTAAAAATTCGAAGTTCTTCGAATATTCGAATATTCGCATTTCAACGAAGTCTTCGAAGTTGGAAAAAACTTCGAAGTTTTTGTGAATTTTTGTTCTCGAAGTCTTCGAAGTTTAAATGTAGTGAAAAACTTCGAAGACTTCGAAGACTTCGTAAGCAAAAGGTGAAGTGAGAGCGCACAATGCAAACAAACGTGCATCACACAAATAATTTGAGGGATGAAAGCGTTTGCTTTGTTTGTACGGTTTTATGTTTTTTGTTGTTATTCTATGCAGAAAATTAAAAACATGTTTTTTTGTTTTATTTTATTACATAAAATTTATTTTATTATTTTATTATTAAATATGTATTATAATATATATTATTTTTAAATATGTTATTATTAAATATTTTTTATATTAAATAAAAAATTCACATTTTAAATAACTTATATTTATTATTTACATTTAAAAAATTATATTTATGAAAATTTTTAATATAATATAAAATACATGAAAATTTGATGGAATTTCTTTTATACAATTTTGCTTATACACTAATTTACATTTTATTTAGATACTTCCTTATAATATTATGTATTTCTTTTCCTAGAATAAAGGATTTAAAAATTTTCCATAAACAGTAAAATAACTGTAACTACAACAAAACATTCAAAATTTTATAATGCAAAAATAAATTTGCGCTTACCTGCGTGATCATCACAGCTCATACAGGTCAAATAATTAGGCATTAATGAGCAAAACTCATTTTTCCATAACTAATTTTTAAGGTTTTAATTTGTGATTTTCTTTTTAAAGGAAAATGAAAATTTTTATAAAATTCCATTACTAATAAAATCCATCAATATCAATATTTTCATATTATTACGTATATATTTTATGTTATATTAAAAATTTTCTCAAATATGATTTTTTAAATATAAATAATAAATATAAGTTATTTAAAATGTGAATTTTTTATTTAATATAAAAAATATTTAATAATAACATATTTAAAAATAATATATATTATAATACATATTTAATAATAAAATAAATTTTATGTAATAAAATAAAACAAAAAAACATGTTTTTAATTTTCTGCATAGAATAACAACAAAAAACATAAAACCGTACAAACAAAGCAAACGCTTTCATCCCTCAAATAATTTGTGTGATGCACGTTTGTTTGCATTGTGCGCTCTCACTTCACCTTTTGCTTACGAAGTCTTCGAAGTCTTCGAAGTTTTTCACTACATTTAAACTTCGAAGACTTCGAGAACAAAAATTCACAAAAACTTCGAAGTTTTTTTCAACTTCGAAGACTTCGTTTACTATTCGAATATTCGAATTTCTTCGAATACTTCGTAAATTCGAATATGAACAGCACTATATCGTAGCGTATTTATAATAAATCTAGCCGAAAAATTTTCGTTTGTTGCATTTATTGCGGCTATAACTCCTCTGCCTTTCGCTCTTACTTATCGCAGAATTAGGTAAATATTAAAGTGTCTTAACACTCTCTTTGCAGTCAGCCAGATATATCATCTCAAACATCACGTGTGAGATTCTAGAACTCACGTGTGAGATTCTAGAACTCACGTGTGAGATCTCAAAGAGAAACTTACATCTAGGTCCGGTATGCCGGTTTTATTATCCAATTATACGACATAAAAAAGTAATGTTTGAAGTGGATAGAATATGTTTTACATACCTAAAGAGCACTTTTATAAATATTAAAAGGCGAATTTAAAGCAACAGGAAATCAAGAATGACCAACAAATATATAGTATGTGGAAAGAAATCAGATTTTTGTGAAGCAAGACTTGAAAACGTGTTCCATGTTTTCTTACGGGATGATAACATTCGTCCCCCGGTGAAAGCTCGGTACGATGGACTGTACAAAGTATTTAGTCGAGACGATAAGCTTATAACTGTATTATAACTATCTGATGGAATTATTTATCTGTTTACGAAACCAACCCATTTTAAATATTTGGCTTCAATTATAAACTTTAGTCTCATTGTAAATATAATACTAATGCCACTAGTAATACTACTATTAAAAATAAATTAAATTAAAAAAATTAAAGTAAGAGAAATACGATTATTCTGTTGTTCACGTAGAACAAGTATTGAACAAAAGTATTGAATTGAATAAGATTTATACATGTAGATTAATAAAAATAAAAACATACGTAACAAACGCCATATCAATATTGCTTATTAGTTTAAGTAGACTTTGTGCAATTCATAGTCTACAATTAAACACAAAAAAAAAATCACGCAACAAACAGATTATTTAAATTTTGATAAATTTCTACACTTCATTGAATTAACACAATTACTCTAAAGCTGTACTAAACCATTTACCTCATCGAATTCTAAGGATAAGAGTCTAGTTTGATAAAAGTCTGGGAGCAACTGATAAGTAATAATTGAAAAAATACTGCATAGTTACTAAAATGATTACTAATCTCAAAAATATAATATAATGTAATAAATATACTTTAATAACAGAATTATTAAATTCCAAAACAGTGGAAGACTATGCTGAAGCTGACTTTTGTTCCTTATAATTCATTTATCATATTTTTGTGCAAAAATAAAGCAAAAGCAAAGAATCTAGAGTACTCTAGAGTGAAAGTATAGTAATAAAGTAAAGGATTAGTATTGCAAATATTTGTTCCACCTTAACGTACAATCCCATTTAGTAGTTTTGAATAAATAAACACATTAACAATATACAGATTTTCATACTTTAGGAGGCAGAACAAATTCTCTTAATACTTTATAAGGGGTCCACAAATATATTCAACATTTAAAAAATATTTTTTTTTTGCTTAAGTATATCTATATCAATTCATTGAATCAAATTAAATTATTACTGTTTGCCGAGATTGAAAAGAAACTAATAGATGACCCAAATTAAACATTAAAATTCATTAACCATTTTCCCATATGGGCAGGGGCATACTGGACTAATTAAGATTGGTGTTTTATAGCACTTTCGAATATTCAATACTAAATATATGTAATTATTTTCCATTATATGTTGAACAAAGGTATTGAAAACAAAAATTTAATGTCATGTTTTTAATAATTTTCTTAAAAGTTCTTAAAAGATCATTTTATTAAACAATATTTTTATATATTTCAGAATAAATGGCCAACATTAAACAGCGCGAAGGATCAAAAGCTGTATCTGAAACACTTATTGAAGAAGGCGATGAAGCAGCTAATTTCGAAATTGACAATTCAACAGCCGAAGTTGTCGTTCCTCCTGATAGTGGTTGGGCATGGGTAGTAATGATAGCATCATTTCTTTGTTGTACTGTAGTAGATGGCATTGTTTTTTGTTCAGGACTTATACAGGATTATATTTTAAAAGATTTTGATGTATCTAAAGGATATGTTGCCTTTGTCTCCTCTTTGTTAAGCGGTTGCTACCTAATGGCTGGTCCATTTGTAAGTGCTTTAGCAAATCGATTTGGTTTTCGTCCAGTCACTATAGCTGGATCATTATTTGCTGCATTTTGTTTTGGATTATCTTACTATGCGACAAGTGTTGAATATCTTTTTTTAACTTATGGTGTACTTGGAGGAATTGGTTTTTGTATGGTTTACATTCCATCGGTTGTAATTATTGGATTTTATTTTGAAAAATGGCGTGCGTTGGCAACTGGTGTGGCTTTATGTGGTTCGGGTGTCGGTACATTTATATTTGCACCACTTACAAATAGTTTATTAGAAAATTATGGTTGGAAAAATACTCTTGCAATTCAAGGTTGTATTATCGTAAGCTGTGCCATTTTTGGGATAGCTTTTAGACCTATTCAACCAATAAGACTTGCAGTAACTGATAGTTCCATAGAAAATGTAGAGAAAAAAAATAATGGTCATGGGAACACTGTTGCTCCTCGATCTCCATTTCATGCAAATGCTTTCAGTAAGCCATTACCAGAAGGACGCTTTGCATATTCAATGCCAAATTCAGCACATAATACTTACATGGGTAACTCTCCAAAACATCATTATCCTACTGCTGCAGAAGTTTTTCGTGGTACCAATTTAGAGCGACGATTATCAAGCAATTCGACTAAAGGGACAGAACTAAAAACTTTAAGAAAATCACAGCCGACGACACCAAACGGAGAGCAACAATTTAACTTCAATCTGAATAAAGAACTTTCCACTGTTGGGGAAAATGAAGAAGAGACTGAAAACGAGAATCTTCTTGTAACCGAAACTAAACCTACAATAGTTCAGGCACGTCGTCATACTGTATCTGGCCGTCGACCAAATGAAATTAACAGAAAAAATGTATCAGGATCACATGATACAGTTCATAATACATCGCGGCCAATGTATCGGGACGATATATTTTTTACAGGATCTTTAACAAGAATTCCCCAGTACCAATCACAAACCTCACTCGCATATCATATGTCAGTAACAAGATTACCAACAAAACAAGATATGCTTGAAGAGAGGCAGAAAGGATGTCATCTTTGTCCTGAAGCTGTGCGTCGTACACTTTCTACAATGCTTGATACTTCACTATTAAAATCGCCTTCCTTTATGCTTCTATCATTTAGTGGATTTTTAACAATGATGGGATTTTTTGTGCCATTCACGTTTTTAGTACGTCGTGCTAAAGATGCAAATATGGATGAAGAAGCTGCTTTGAGGGTTGTCTCAGGAATAGGTCTTATTAATACTATTGCTAGGATAATTTGTGGCACTTTGAGTTCATTTCCAAGCGTTAAACCCTTATGGCTAAATAATGTTGCTATTACCGCTGGCGGCTTAGCGACTATGCTTAGTGGTATCGTCATCAATAGTGCAACGCAATGGACATTTGCTGTATTCTTTGGTATATGCATTGCTTGTTTTTCTGCCTTACGTTCTTTGATTGCTGTCGAAATGATTGGTTTAGAAAAACTTACAAATGCTTTCGGATTTCTAATGTTATTTCAAGGTGTTGCCGCAACTATTGGTAGTCCTATCGCAGGTATGCATATTTTTTTTGGTCTTACGTTTCGACTAAATATAATAATTATGTATTGAAAACAAAATATACGTATCATTTTTTGCAATTCACAATTGCATAATTTCAAACACGAGCATACGTTATCAAATCAATAAAACCTTGAATGATATAGCAACGTGCTTCATACTAAAAAAAATTCTCAATGCCTAGACTATCGAGCTATATTAACATTTAGAATGGCTATATAGAGTTATTAACGTATTCGCTAGCAAAATTAACACATTTATTAAAAAGTGATTAAATATATCTTTACTATAATTCAATCATTATATATATACAGCAAATTTATTAAAGTAATCAAATTTAGATAGGAATTTGTATAAGTTAAACAGAAAACTATTAAGTTATTGTTTTCATATGTGTGTTTTGGAGTGGTTCAATATAAAATAAAAAAGAAATGATTTTTTAAGTTTGATTTATGGCTTCAAGATATTACGTAAACATTTGAAAAATGAATAAAATTTTTGAAAATGTATAAAATTCATTAGTGTAAGAAAAATTTAATATATTATATTTTTTTATTATATATTATAACTCACTAAAAACTGCATCATAACAGGGAAGAAGATTTTGATCATACTGCATTATCTGCTTTTTAATGCGCCCAGTTAAAATTCAGCGTATATTATATTTCACCTTTCTTTTAACTGATATGGACACACAATCCTACTGTCATTTGTCTTTAATATTGGATTCACACAAGAGCTTGTTTATAATTTTAGCTGTCAAAAATTTTTATTTTGCATTGAAAGCAACAAAAATTGACAGCTGAAATCACAAATGTGACAGCTAAATTACAAACATTACAGCTAAAATTACAAACGAAACTCTCGTATGAATCCAGAATAAGTTCCCTGGATTTAATTTTGGTACAGAACTTACGAATTTCACACATTGCCAATCTGTATACATGAGCTCTGCTTGGTTGTGTGTAAAACAGTTATTTAGTTTAGTTAAAGAAGTTATTTTAGCTATTTTTTTTATTTTTGTGAAATGATAAAATGTAACGTAGTCTTTTAAATCATAGTGAAGTAATGAATTTAAATAAGTACTGGATAAACTCAATATTTATAAAAATACTGAAATCATAAATAAAATATATAAAAAAAATATTGCAAAAATAGATTATGCAAATTTGACTAATTAAATAATATTGAAGAATTAATAAATAAATATTCTTTCAGGTGCTTATCATATATTTTTATTATATGTTAAGCATTGTATACTATTATAAATTTATTACAAAAAGCCTTTTCTTTTGTAAACATATCACAAAAGAACTGCTTTTTTTTTAAAATAACATATGAAACAATAACACTGCTGGCTTATTTAGTCCAACATTTTTGTAATCGCTTAACTAATAAGCAGTTCAAATCGTATGGTTGCCAAGACTAAAAATTCGTCTATTGTGAATGATTTTTGGAAGTACATACAAAATATCCAATTAATAGTTAACGAAAGATTTTCTTGATTCTTCGTATTTCGTGTCGTCATTGTACGTAAAAAATACGTTACTTTTTCTATTTATTATTTTACTGTTAAAAGGAATGAAATTTCATGTAAAAAAAAAAATATTCTTACCAATAATTGCTAAGAAAGAATTATTATTCATTTTGGAAATTTAAACTTTAAATTTTATTATATGCTTTATATATATAAGCCTAACAAAATCTCCATTTTGTTCTGAGTTGCTATCGAAAGTAGAGCTTATTTTATTTGTTATTTTGCGACATGCTTACAAAAGAAAAGGCGTAAAGCTGTAATTACTTACAATTATTATTTTTACTGTTTTGGTTTGGCAAGATTTTGATAAAAAACTCAATATATTAATATATGTTTTATATTTTTTCATTAAACAATATTTTTTGTACGCAAGATGCGTGCTGCTTTTACGTTTTAATGTGCAAAACTTGATCATTAGTGAGGCACTTTTCGAAAGGATACTGGGATGTGTTTAGTAATAAGCTCGAATCGAACACCGTCACAGATGTGTTTGATAATGCTTAAAATTTCAGACCGTCACTGCGCTACCCAGTTTGGTATTAAGACAATTAACTTTCAGAATATAATGCAGTAAAGGCTTAACGATGGATTGCTGAACAAGAGAATAACAGTTCTATAAGAGACGATAGATTCTTTCATTGTCTAAGTTTCTTTACTTTATGAGATTAAGAATGGGAAAATCAAGTAGGATTATATCTGGGGACTTGCATTTGAACTCAAATTTATTAGAAAGTAAAAATGATTTTAGTTACAATATAATCAATTTTAATCGGAATTCATTATTCCGAGGGCTTAATTTCATTACCGCGGAATATAAAGTTTTTTCAAAGGAAATCAAATGTAATATGTTAGGGGTTTGGTGATACAGAAAGGATGATGTTGAACTCAGAAGGATCGAATATAGTAAAAATATTGGTGATGAGAGTATTGAACGTATATGTGTCTATGCGGACATGAAGTTTAAATGTAACTCCTCTTGACTTAATACAGTGGCAAACCGAATAGTAGAAAGTTTAAAATGTCAAGAATTTTACGACCCAAAAATATTTTGTGTCTTAATTTGTAGCAAGACGTGGAAATAAGGATACTCAGTCTGGTTTCCACTTTGATGACTTAATTAGGTTTAATAAGCGTTAAGTTCCGAAATAGGGTACCTTTTGATAGTAAAGTGAAAAAAATTTATATTAAAATAATTTGCACGTTGTTCATTTCAAAGCATAATCAAAAACTTTTTACTTCAGAGTGGATTTTCTTTATATCCCAAAGAAAAGTAATTTATAGCTATAAATTATTAAGATCTAGACATAACGTACATATGTTTAAGCGGATAACATGGAATTCTTAAATTATTGAATACCTGGAATTAGCTTGGTGGCCAAAAAGGGTGCAATTGCAGCATTCGAGAGAGTTCGAGAATAAATGCTCACGTTTGGGGTGAGATGTGCCACAATGAAATTTATAAAAAGATTAATTGTATAGTTCAACAGAATGGAAGTTCTAGGCATAGTAAGAGTTTAAGGAATCCCGTTGCATTTAGGCTTTAGATAATATACAACTAGATAATGAGTATAATTCTTATATACCATAACAGATTAGATTTAACTATTTCAAAAAAGGGTCATTGGTAATTATGTATCATCGATAGCTAATATCAATTTAAGATATTTCTCATCATATAAGCAAAGGACTTTTTTCAAGAATATGGAAACTATTATATTCTCAGCTGGTTTTAAGGCACAGTTCGAGATTTGTTACTTCTTAATATCTGCAATTGCATTTTTATCATGCGTTCAATAGATCCGCAACGGTTCTATTATTTGACAGTGTCATCTCGATGCGGTGCCAAATCAAAGTAATATTAAGTGGATGTAGAACATGGTGTTATTTGAGTGTTATATCTCAATATACTATTTATTTTATTTCATTAATATTAAAATCTTTATATAGTAGATTGGAAATTACTTACCAATTTTTGAAAGCATTTAGTTTAGTTAGTTAGTAGTTTGGTTATGTTTGTTTTAAGTTGAGCATTGATTATGAATGAGTGAAGTGGAGAGTTTACCTCGTATTTTGGTATGAATTAAATTTAGATTAGCCATTCAAAACCATCTTTTGCATTTTTTGCTAATCAACAACTTATTATTTTTATTACAAATATATGCACATAAAACTAAATATGAAAGTTTGGTAAAAAGTAAATTTATTTTTTTTTAAATTAAATCCTTACAATGTAATTAATAATATTAAAAATAAAATTTAAAAAAAATGTACAGACGAAAAATTACTAAGTTACTTTGGTAAATGAAGTTGAGAATTCTTTTAATATTTAATAAGGGCTTATATCATTTGAGTTTGTTGCTAATTAAATTGGTGATTGGGCAAGATCTTACGAAAGTTTCCTGATCTTAACGATTTAAGCTTCCGTCAACTGGTAGACTGGAATTCAGATATTTCCAGATGAAACGAGAACTGCGTTAATCCGTTAAATAAAATTGTTATTGACTTTTTGAAGCATTAGCAGAACATAGATAGGACGTTATGGTTATGGTTTTGCCTGAAGATACCCGTTTTAGTTTGTGATGCAACTATAGCAATCCGTAATATGTTATCAAATCCCATTTGTTAAGATAAAATTCCGAAATTATTTACAAGTAAAGAGTCTAAAATCAACATAACTTTATAGTTAAATCCAATTTTTCGATTACTTTTAAATGAATTTTTTTTCTAAAGTTTTTAGATTCTTGATAAAACTTAATTTTATAAGTTTCAAAAAATAAAAGGATATCTGTTTTCTATTGATATCAGTTATTTCTTGACCTATATACTCAACAGTTGCTGAAAGTGGTTATGAAATCAAATACAGTTATTACTGGTGGTCTGTTGAGCAATTGTATCATGTGAAATGACTCTAGCATTGACATTAATATAATCCATTGTGACAGTTGCATTTAAATATATCCAAATTTGCGATGGAAAGGACAGCACCTATCCGGAACTCAGTACTGCTTGAGAGCAGTTATGATGAGCATAAGTTTATCGTTATTTATCAGCAAGTTAAGACCATGTGACTTTATTCATTATGAATATTGATCGTTATTCATTAACACGTGGATAGATTGGCACACATTAACTAGGAAGCGTCATCTTAACGGAGTGACTTGTATTTATATTGGCTATATTTATTATTAATTGCTGGGTAAAAAACAAATATTAACTTTAGTGCGGTGTAAATTTGCTGGGTACAGAATGCTTATCATAGTTGGCACCGCTAAAAATTACCGGTTACTTACAGTTTTTTGATTTGTGTTTTTGATCCAAAAGTTTTAAAGTGATTGTAAGCAGCTGCTTTTCTGTTCGTGTTTATAGCTCTTCAGTACATGATAACTTAAACTATTAAGTACTATTTATATTTATCAATTTACAAATTTAACAATTATTTATAAGTTCAATTCATTTATTTACAAAATGGCTTTTACTGATTTAAAGGTTTAATTTGCGCTGATTTCATGTTCGATAGGAGTTATTATTTAATCTTAAAATCTAATCTAATAATTTATTATACGTATAATAAATTTCTTCAAAAAGCTAAACGATCTTTTATGTCGGATAGTATTCCACAGTAAATTATATTTTTATTATGTTTTACTTTAGGCATGTTAAATAAGAAAAAATCAATAACGTCCGCATTATTACCAATATTTCTGTACTTATAAAAAACGCTTCTCAGAATACAAAATATGAAAAAATTAATAAACTGAAATATTTATTTCAATTAGTTTTAAATAATTAAATTCAAATGAAAATATAGTTAAAGTAACGAATGATATATTTAAAACACAAAAATATAAGTCATATATTCTAGAATTTCTGTTTTATGTATTTGTTTTTGTAATAATTTTTTTACATGGAATGATTGAAGTGTGTTACTAAATTTTATTTTTGACTAAAAATACTTTATGAAAAACAAATCAAAATATGTGTATTTAATATTAAGGGCCTTCATTTTAAGGTGTAGATGTTTTTGGAACATCTACCAGAAAAAAAAATACAGCTCATGCACGGCGGCGACTCAATACTTTAGGAGCCGCCTTTCTCGAGGATATTGACCAATTACAGAACCTGAGACTAAATAGCATTTTAGGCTTTGCCAAAGGATCTAGGTGGTTTTAAACCCTGAGTTTTTCCTATATATACGGTAACAGAATGGGCCAATAGGCCTAATTGGATCCAATAGGGATCGCCGGTAAAACCTAATCTAGCCTTTACGAGTGTTCACTTCTTGGTATATATCTTTTTAAGCAATGACTGAATGTCCTTACAGTATAGTATAGTATACAGTAAATTTATTTTTCTTGTGTAATGTTAAAAATGGACACCCATCATGTGCACATTTACCAGATCTTGATTCTAATTAAGAGTACACGAAAAAACTTTAATTTAAAGTCAAATTATAGTTAAGCGGCCATTGATCATAATTATATAATGAATTAAAATTCAAAAAAACTTACAATAGATAAAGTATCGCATCTTATTAAACGTTTATTAAGATTTTATTTTTTAGTGGAGCCTTGAAGCCTTAATGAATTACACACAATAAATCCTTTTTTAGTTGGGTCGTTTTACATTAAAATACAGGGCAAATTGAAAAAAATTCTAAAAAAAGGATTTTTAGAAAAAATTTTTAATATTGTTATATTATACAAAGTGCATAACGCGATATAGTGCGTATCTCTTAAAAAGTTAATTTTTTTATAATAGTATAATTTCTTTTATATTTAAGAATGTATTACTTTTCTCTAATTTGTGAATAAATTGTTAGCTTAAAATAATTGTTTAAACTTATTGAATAAAAATGATTAAAACATAAATATATTTTATATTCTTTTAGGCGCACTGTACGACAACACTGGAAGTTACGATGTTTCGTTTTATTTTGCCGGCGGTCTCATTTTGCTCTCAGCCTTCTTATGTTATCCATTAACTTACGTTTCAAAATGGGAAAAAGCCCGTAACGAGAAAAAGCTTTCACAAACTGTTCCTACCGCTTAAGTCGGGGAAGTTAAAAAATAGTTCGAAATTACATATATAGTTCAGTCATATCTTGCTGTGTATATTGTATCATAATATTTTAAACATATTGATTTTTAGCAAACGTTTAAAGAATAATTTTAAGTTCAATAATTAAAGAAAAAAATTCATTTTTGGGACTTTTCAGTATAAAATATTGTCATTATCTAAAATGTGTGCCGTTTGTTATATATGTGTATATATGTAAATAACTTATTAACAAAATTTTTAACAAAGTTGTTTGCATATTATATCTACCCATTTCTAATCATACTATCTTAAGTAACCATATTGTTTTTATTAAAAATTTTCGACCTTAATTTTGTATTTTGAAACAAATTACTTTAACAAAAAGTGATTAAGTAAATTAGTTTATAAAAATATAAAATATGAGATTTTATATGTTTGTCCATAAAGACGTAAAACTAATAGAAATGTATGTCAATTAAAAACAGATTACAGCTATTATTCAAATTATTTCATAAACAAATGTAATTGTTTGATAAATAATATAGCATAATTTCGACTATCATAAATAAAAATATTTTAATTGTAAGAAATCTTTATTTCTAATATTTATTGATTAAAACTACACAAAATATGATCTTATAATAGTTATAATAGTTACTTGTTAAATAAATGTAAAGCGGTTTGTACAAACTTCAAATATTTTTTAAATTAAATTTAGAATTTAGTACTACAATATACAATCACAAAAATTATTTCAAATAGCTAAGCAAAATAAATACAACCGATTTATAAAAAAAAATAATGACTTTAAATAAAATAGTGCATATAATGAATATTAAAATATTGTTTATATTTTTTACTTTTCTTGATTAAGCGAGTTGATAAATTCCTCCAGTTTTTCTTGAATATGTCGAACTTTTACTGTGGTCAAAAAAAAAAAAAAATACGTATATACATATAATTATAATTATTGGCATTTATATAAAATTAGTTATACATACTGAGTTCTTCAGCGAGTGTTACACGTTTTCCTGTAAGAAGTTGAGATTTTTTCTCCTCGTCATCATTAAACTCATCTAACACTTCTTTTATTTCTTTATCCAAACGGCGTGCCTCTCTATTAATAACCTGTTGCCTTAAAGCATTAGATGTCACTTTTATAACTTGCTGTATTCGCCAAAAAAGTACAACATCGCTACAACTTATCTAGAATAATTTAGTTATTAAAATCAATTTTAATTATTGAAACTTCTACTCATTACTTCGCACTCAGTTCCTTGGGTACTATAAAGGAAATACGCTTTTCTACAATCATTGGCCCTCTGCAACGCATGCTTTAAAAAGTGTCTAGAATACAAGAAATATAATAAAACTAGTTCTCTAAAATCAAGTAATTCCAATATTTGGAAACAATTTTTGATATAAATTTAATAGCTCAAACGTTGACCTGAGTGAAAAATGTCGATTTATTAAGGAACCACGTTACAATATGGTTAACCATATAATAAATTTAAAATATTTAGACGTTGGGCGATAACGCGATATATAGTATAGTAACAAAATGACAATCATCTGAACGCTACTTTTTAAATTATTTATGGATATACATATTGTGCCCAACGCAGCCTGTCAGTATTTTACTTACTAATATAATTTTTGAATTTGTATAAAAATTGTTTCTTAAAACTTTAGTAGTATTACCTTCTATAAATTGGAAACCATGTTTGACGAATATAATCGGTGTCGACATCCACATTATCGCGTTGTAAATTTTTTCGTACTGTTGTCAATTCATCATAAGATAGGACAGGAAGATGCTTCTATAATTAATATATTATTTAGGCCTTCTATTATTTACTTTGAAATATCGATACGACTTACATCATCTCTTAAAATTTTTTCTAATTCAGTCTTAACACGGCGTCTTTTTATTTGGTCATCCGAAATAGACTTCCATTGTGTAATACGAGTGAACTGTCCGGGCCCAAACATTTCTTGTAAGGTTTCCTCTGTTTGTGATAGTTTACTTTTAACAGAGTTCTCTAAGAATTTTACTGCCTGGTCCCATTCAGTTTTGTCATGTACAAAACGATCCTCAAGTGTATTTAGTTGAATGACACGTAACATATCAATAGCTTTATCCTCCCAGAAATGACGACGTATTGCTTCATCAACCACAGTTGCTTTCAAATTATCAAATATATCATCATGATCTGGATTCTTCTTTGCTTTTTCCATAAGATTGGTGAATTCAGTTTGAAGAGTTTCCCAACCTAAATTTATTTTATAATATTAAGGCAATTACTATTAAATAAATTGTTTTTACCCGCTTCAACTGATTTTGCTGGCAAAGCTTGTTCTGCCCACTGACGAAGTTTAATGTCAATCATTGTATTAAATGAATCTGTAATAAAATAAATGCCGCTAGACTTATGTCAATAATTAAAACGATTATATTAAATTAACAACATGAATATTATATCACGTACCAGAATATTTATGAACAAATGAAATAGTATATTAATATTGTTTTCGTAAGTCATATTAGATTAACGTTTAAGTTATTTCGCTAGTATCAAGAGTAATGGCAATGTTTTTTTTTATTAATTAATAAAAGTTTTAATTTAACTATTTTCTTAACAAGAAAATATATACATATACTGATATAAATGATTTGTTAAATAATGATAAAATTATTCAAATTTGCCAATTTCAAAATAATTTAAAAACATACGCGATTTGAAGTAATACGCTGTTAATCGAGTCAATCTTGCACAAATTTCATAACTATTAGAAGTGTACATCGAAAACCCCAGAAATTTTCTATTGCGATATTTTTAATATGTCGAAAGTGAAGAGCAACTAAACGTTTATTAATGTTAGCTAATATATTTGCAATATTACTCCATACCAGCGGCATATTACTTCATATATTGGAAATTTTTTAACGCAAATACAAAATCATAAGCTAAAAATGAATTGATGAATTTTACTTATATTCTACTACGTTTTCATAATATTACTTTGAGAACCTGACTGAGCGGCCGGAAGATAAATATTTTCAAAGACATAATTAGAAAGTTTTTCCCAAAGCTTTCCATTTAAAGCTTCTTCCCACTTCTTTGATGAAATCTGAGATAATGTTACAACTTCATCTAGAATTTCACATTTAGCTTTATCAAAAAGTTCATCCCTTCCGGACTCTCGTAAACTGAAAGAATTTTATATATAAATTATTTCAAATCAGTTTAATAGCAACCTACCGGGGAAAGTTATTTTTCCATTCAGTTTCTAAATTGAATCTAGTTGCTTTAAATGCATCTGCTTGCTGTTCTATTGTTTCTCTGACCATCTTCCAGAAACGATCAGATACTGCTAAACTCAGGTTTCTGCTTGTAACTTGGTGTGGCATTATAACCCCTCGTCGACTGTGTATTAGAGAAACTTATTAATAATAAACAAACGAATAAGAAAACTTACTGGAAAAGCTTTGAGTTCTTAAAGAAATCTTCTTCATATTGTCTTATAGCTTCAATGCTATCGTCTTTACGACCGCGACCTGTGACTACAGCATAATACCCAATGGCTTTCATCGGAAACAATTTTCCGGATAAAATTTTTCTAATCTTTTAGAAGATATAAAGTGTATATATATAATATAAAACGAATATATTTTGTATTTATATGAATTTACTCTGTCTGGATCAGCTAGTTCTTCAGCTAAATCTACTTTGGTTAATACGAAAATAGTGCGCCTTCCCATAGGATCACATTGCATTACTAGATCAGTAACATTACTACGTTCTGCATCAACTGAACCATCCTGAATACAAAGAATTATGGCATTGGGATTACTCATATAATGTTTAGTCATTTGATGTATTGAATCTTTCGTATCTGAAGCCATATCCACAGTCATAGTCTAATAAAATATAAATAATAATAATGAAGACATTATATAGAAATTATATTACCGAAATAATTCCCGGTAAGTCCACGAGTACCATGCGTTGTAATCCCGGTCCTTTAACGGTCATTGATATCACATCATTACTGACCGTTTTCCCCCCACGCACTGATGCACGCATTCTAAGTTCAATTTCTCGACGAAGTTCTGACAAATCTGCCTCTTTATTTAAGTCATATTCTCTATCTGAATCACGGAATTGAGCCACATGATAGGGACCTTCTGCTAATGTTACTTTAACCGGGGCTCGCGTCATCATTTCACCACTGCCACGTGGAAAAATTCGTGCCTTAGCAATTGATTCAAGTACGGAAGTCTTCCCGCTGCTTTGGTCACCTACCACTACAACACGTGGCAAATGGTCTGCTACAGAATAACTAGTATCATACCCCGAGAGCTCATCTAGAACTTCAGAATACATATCAATTAAAGATTTTTTGATTCTCTTTGTTGTAGTTTTTTTGTTTGTCTTTAAAATTAAATACTGCTGACGTAATTCGCGGTTTTCTTTTTCCATTTTTTCTAATTCTTTTTGGTATTTAATTTGAACGTTCATTATTTCTGTTTGAAGGGCTTCCACTTGAGATTGCAAAGATTCTGAAAATATAAATATATATAATATTTATATCATTGAAATAATTAATATTAATTACCATATTTCTTTCGACTTTCATCATTTGAAAGACTCAAGGCGGAAACTGTCGTTTTTGCTTTTATGTCATCGTTTGCTAAATAAAAATAAAGTTATCGTTATAAATATATTAAATACAAATTTCTTCTCTCACTTTAATACTTATTTTTTTAATAAGGAAAATCATATAAAACGGAAAATGTTTAAAACCTACATTCAATAAATTTTGTTCCATTATAATCAGCCGCCTCAATAGCATCATCCAAACGGTTATCAAACCACATTCTCCATTCAGATAATTTTTCATCTCCAAGTTGTTTAAGCTTTGGATCTACGTGCGAAAACAATCCCACAATATATTTATTAAGATAATTCAAATTCTCCAATATAAATGAGTTACTAAATCAGTAAAATATATGCAAAACGAGTTACATTAATATTGCACATTTTAATGTGACAAAAAGAATTTGTTCAAAAAAAATATTGCAAATAAAACGTAACTGCAAAATAATTTAAACGTTGAGTAACAATTAGTTTTCAAATTTTATTAAAATTGTAAGATGAATGAGTTAATATGGTATATAAAATATGACAAAGAAATTACTTTTAGGAACTATAAATTTGAAATTTATTTATCAAAAAAAACCAAATCATTAAAATGGATTGTTAAAAAATGTAATGCTTTCAGTTTCAAATTTTTTATATGCTTTAATAGTAGAAGCGCTTAATGTAAACAGAGGTCACCTCAAAATTTCATAATAAGTATTAAAAATACATCATCTGCGAATGCAGATAAGATGATATATTTTCGTATCTTTTGTGTAGTCATGTACATGTTCTTCCAGAGTGTACTAACAAGATCCAACAATAATCAGCACCAAACATAATTTAAAGAAATTACAGATTTTATTTCAAATTAAGGATTTAATTCTCTCAAACAATCAATTTATTGTTTTATTTTATACAAAACAGTTCTTGTTATTTGACCGATATACCCAAAATCATATGGGATTAACTATTTCATATTTTTTTATTTTATAATAAAAATTGCCTTTTTTCATATTAAAAAAGTAAATTGACCTCTGGTTTTTAATATACAAAATTCATAGTATAAAGTGAGAGAATATATATATTGATAAAAAAAGTAGAACAAAAAATGATATTATAATGTATTACCCATAACATAAAGTCATTTATAGTAGGTTTGAAATAATAATGATTTTAGTAACAAGAAGAAAAATCTTATAGAAAATTTAATTTATTACATATTTGTTCTACTTATGACAAGATCTTGGGCCATAATTACTCACCTATTTCAATAACATCTTTAATAGCATTGCTTATTTCCACCAGTTTTTTCGATACATTATTCCATTGACTTCCTTGAGGAAATACTTCCTCTAACCATTTCATGTCAGGCAGTCCATCTTTCCAATCTTCATATTTCTATAATTTATGTAATATAACATGGTTATATAATACTATTTAACATAAGTACTTTGGTAAGAGATACACCGCCGCCAATAGCACCTCCTAACAATATATAACGTAACTTTAGAGCTCCTCGCAAAACTCGAACTACAATCATGCCATATTGTCTTGTATGTGGAACATTCCATTGCCGTGGTACCACATATGGAGTGACAGGATTGTGCCTGTGCCAGTCGCAAGCTTTTCGTAATCGATAATTGTTGAGTATAGTTGAATAATTCGAACTCAATATTTTCATGCAGAGGCACGGCACCTGCTTGGGTTTTCTAGGAAGTATTATAGTAGTTATGTAATTTATAACACATATATTATTTATACCTATTTCGATATTTCAAAGCCAATCGTAACATTGCTAAAGGTTATAAAATTTAAAATTTATATAAACACAATTTCGATCAGCTCCGCAAGTATCGATGCAATATGATTTAATTTGACATACCAAATCCGTAATTCGCAAAGTACAAAAAATACAGTGTTGAATAACGGACAGTTGTATTCTTAATATATAACATTTTAAATATATTTTTATTGCAATAGGTGCTTTCAGCAGTTTTAAAGTGTGATAAAAAACAGAAAGTTGCTTGCTTAAAGTTGCTAAAATGTACGCGAAACAACAATACTATTTTCTCTATTTAATAACGTAGTTGTGAAGTGACCAAGAATTTTAGCAACTACAAAAACAAATGTTACCAAACAAAATGCGATTTATTCATTGGAAATTTCAAAAAATTATCTAGTCATCGGTCTAATGTTTGTTAATAAAAATTTAAACAAAATTCAAAATTTTTTATATATACAGACTTAAATTTATATAAGTTATTTGTATCGAGTTGGCGGAGCGTTTTAAAATAAAAGACGTTTCGCTTTCGGTTGAGAATTGTATCTAAATTTCTTTGTTGAATTAATATTGGCTTGCGCACTCCACTTACAAACTATTTTGCTTATTTTACAAATTTTGAATATAAGCTAATTTTTATTTATTATTTAAATACAATAACAATGTCAGCTGCACTTACAAATTATTATGCTTATTTTATTAATTAATTTTAATTTATTAATTAAATACAACAATAATGTCAATACGCGCTTGCCTCGAGTTCTTTGCACCGCAATGGAACTCGCTATTGCGTAAATCGTTGCTGCATTAAAGCGACAATTTTAATTGTGCGCATGGAGTGGGTCGCTGACATCAGGCGTATTCGGTGGCTCGCAAGTACGGCAAAAAACAGCAAGTTGTTGGCCTATGCAGGCCTATACTGGCCGCAATGTACGCAAAACAACAACACTATTTTCTCTACTTCGGCCAGCATAGTTATGCTGGCCAACCACATCGGCCAGTAAAAAAAAAAATGTTACCAACGCAATAAGCGAACTATTGTGAACCTTCATTGAAAATTCCAACGAATAGTGCAATCAAATGTCAAAAATTGAGGAAATAAAAATTCAAACAGAATTCAAAAATTTGAAAAATATTGAAAAGTAACGAAGAAATAATAAGAATGGAGAAATCGTAAGTATTAAGCACATTGAATTTTTTATTATGTTAATTATTACCAAGTAACATTTATTTTATTTCATTTAATTTGTAGTTTACATGCGTAAAAAATTTTTTTATAGAAATACACTCAAGTAAAACGTTGCTTTCTTCTCCCAACATCGACAGTACCTACAAAAATTTACTTATCTTAGTGTTTTATTTTTAAATTTCCAATATTCTTACCATTCCTTTTAATTCCTTGTTTATTTTAATTTTATAATATTTTTATAAAAATAAGATTTGCTGTTTGTCAAAACAAAACATTTGACAGATTGCAACAGTGATGCCAATGACTCGCGTGGCCAACATAGGCCAACATGCATTTTTTGCCGTACTTGCGAGCCACCGAAAAGGCCTATCGTAGTTACATATTTATGCTGACGCATGGTCAGCACTGGTTAATTTATACAAAAATTTTTATAAGTACATAAAGTACAATTGAAAAGCGCTTTAAATATTTTAACTTATTAGTTGCTATCAAGTTCACACTTACTAAGAACTAAATTTTATAAACTTTTATCAATTTTATTGTAAAAAGAAATTTCAAAATTAACAGCATTTTTCACACTGCTTTTAATTCATCATTCATTTTAATTCTTAATATTATTTCAACTATATATTTTTATTCAAAATGTATTTCTGAACTCTTTTTATATGAATTCTCCAATAGAACACATCTCGTTTAAAAATTAAAATGCAAAGCAAAAACAAAATTCAAAGAATAAGCTCACTTTCCTGAAAGTGCTTTATGAATAAACCTGTCGAATTTCGATAGTGCCAAAACTTAAAACTAATCTATTGTGAATAATTTTTCCGAAGAAAATGGCATGCTCCAATCAGCTGTTTATTATTTACAACTGAGTGTTGTGTAAATTTTAATATAGACCTTTTCTTTTGTAAGCATATTGCAAAAGATCAAATAAAATAAGCACCATGTAAAGCATGGACAAAATGGAAATTTTGTTAGGCTAATATATGTAAAACACGTAATAAAATTTAAAGATAAAGATTGATAAGAATATTTTTTTTTTGCATGTTTGTGATTAAAATAAAAATTTTCATACCTTTTAACAATACAATAATAAATACAGTTAATTGGAAATTTCGTATGTGCTTCCAAAAATCATACATAATAGACGAATTTTTAGTCTTGGTAATCATACGATTTGAACTGCTTATTAGTTAAGCGATTTCAAAAAGGTTGGACTAAATAAGCCAGCAGTGTTATTGTTTCATATGTTATTTTTAAAATAAATACCTTATCTTAAAAAAATAATTTTTTAATAAAATTTATGAAAATAACTGAGTTAGTAATTGTGAAGAAGTTAATGATTTACTAAGGAACTTTTTATTTCTGCGTTCACTAAAAAAATGCAAACATGGATAAATGCAAAACATAATCGTTGTAATTAAAGCAAAAAGTTATGAGGCAACTGTAAGAAAATTAAAACAGTGTTAAATACTGCCCATTTAGCATTAATTAGAGATGTTAGATGTATGAAAATTACACAAACGAATTTATTCACGATATCGTATTGCCTACATGAGTAACATAATCTATATGTTTATATGCAAGAATTGTAAATTGCTTCTATAAATTTGGAGAAATGATTAAATGGCATGATCAATTCATCGTCATTTAAATTGTTGGTACGTGTTTACTCCAAATTTATAGAAACAGTGAAATGGCCCGATTTTCTTGTAAAACATATGTATTTTAATAACAATTTTAAATAATAAATTTCTTCTTATTTCAACAATCATATTAAAAGGTTCTTAATTTTATAAACAACATTACTTATGTAACTTATTATAAAACGCTTTTTTATAAAATTCAACGGCAAATTTGTTTGAATTTTTTTACTTGTCATATACATATTTACTGGTTTCGGCAGTGATGCCAAGTTATTTTTAATCACCAAAAGTAATTCTATTGGAGAATTTATTTACAAAAAAAACACATGTTATGTGGACATATGCAAGATTTGCTTTTTGCGAAAACATAACATTTGATAGATTGTAATAGTGATTGTGTTTGAATTTTTATCATCTGATATCATTTTATTTAGAAATAAAATTGTTTATCAGCTAGCAGACAAACCAAATTAAAAAGCTTTTATTAAAAAATTTTCAGCATATATTTCGTTCTGTTTTTTAGAACTTCATCAGTGCTTCATTTTTGTAAAAAGCAAAAATTTTTTTAGGTTCATAATAATCTTGTTCAAATTTTTTTTAAAACTAACAAAACATTTATAAATGTTCACAAAAATCAACACATGCTTCTATTATTCGTGCGGTTAATTTTAGTTTGGAAGAACCTTTCTTGCAGCAAGCTACCGATGATATTAATCAGTCCACTTGGGACCCCAAAATGGGCCATTTTGACTATAAGGTCATCATGCCAGACCTTGTCAAAAGCTTTGGCTATGTCGAATATTATCATCCCGGTTTGTATCAGCTGCGATGTTCTGGCTAGTTGTAGTTCCGTGGAGAGATCAGCCCTAAACTCGAATTGTTCGTTCGGAAGGATATTTGGGGCGTTCACCACTGTTTTTAGCCTAGCCAGGATTACTCGTTCTGCCAGCTTCCCCAGATTTGGGAGCAGGCTGATGGGACGCCAGATCTGCGGACATAAGGGATTTTTGTCCGGTTTAGGAAACATTACAACCGAGGCCATCTTCCGGGCGTTTGGAAACTTGCCTAGCCTAAACATGCAGTTGATGATGTTAACGATTCATTGGATTGCGTCCTCTGGGAGATTACGCAGGGATTTGTTGCTGATGTTATCATGCATTTTGGTTCCATATTTTTCTAAATCAACTGTTTCTACATAATTTTGAACTAGATCCTACACACTGAACACTTATTCATTGTACGGCCTTGTTCAGCAACAAACCGTTGCGACATCTCATTAACAAATTTATTATCTATTAAATAATTTATTAAATAATTGCGATATACACTGTATAAATATAATTTTATACCATTTTGCAATTGCAGAAAAGTTGTTGGTAAACATGACACAATTTTTCTTCCCTCCATTGTCTGTAATAATAACATAAAATAAAACTTTTATATTAAATTTAATTTCCAACAGTTTTCTAAATCATTTTTTTAAAATAACATTTATATTTAAATAAATTAATTTTAAATAATATTTGCGCTTGATATTATAAAATTTTCTTTGTTCTTAAAAATATATTTTGTGCTCTTATTTTTTAAATTTTATTTCTATTGTTTTTTCCAAAAATAGCTGTTTGACCATAATTTACGGAAAACTGTTCTATGAAAACTTATATAAAGAGCGTAACTTGCATTCTATTTGCGTTACGCTTTTAGTTTGTACTGTACTTGTGTTTTACACGAGTTTCGCTACAAGTAGCTCGTGTAACAGACCTATCATTTGCATTTAATTAGTTGCTTTAGTTAAAAATTATATGCACACTAAACAATAGCATACAATCTGCCGATAGTGATGGAATACGTGTGTTGGGTATTTGGTATCGATATATGAAAATATAATGGTTTTTTACGATTGCTTACTTTTATTGTGGTAACAATCGTAATATAAAAAACAAAACTATTTAACAATAGCTGCGTTTCAGCAAACATGATCCGCTCAATGATCTGGATCATCTTTGCTGAAACGATACGGATCACATTTGAAAATAATTGGCAACGCATGAAATATGCCAGTTGGGTTTGTGCACAAAATTTTTTGATTTATGTGAATAATTTTGGCGCTAAAAAAATAAGTGAGAAAATTTTGAATACAAAAAATCTAAAAAATGGAAAATAAATAAAATCTGTTGAAATGTCTGAAGTATTAAATGTAAGTTTTTATTTAGTAGTTACTTTAAAACTTATATTTAATTTTATAGTAAATAAATGAAAATTGCAGATTTTATTAGAATTATCGAGCAAAACTGACTCCTCCATTTTCTTTTTAAACACTAGTTCAAGTGTATTAAGCTCAAGGGATGAAGTGCATCAGCATGGATATAGTGGAAGTTTTGTGGAAATGATCAATAATTGTTCCGTTAAAGATTATTTGATTGGTATTTGCGCATAAAAAATACAATTGTTATATATTAATTATGTTTCATTTTTTAATAGATTTGTTAATAAATTCCAATCAGCGAATGCA